AGAGAGAGAGAGAGAGAGAGAGAGAGAGAGAGAGAGAGAGAGAGAGAGAGAGAGAGAGAGAGAGGTTCAGCGTGGCATTGTCGTCGTGATGATGTCACTCCCCACATCATAACGACGGGCGGCGAGATGGGAGAAGGTTGACGTCAATGGAAATCGTGCAAGTGCCATAGTGTCGGTGATATCGGTTCCTCAGACCAGGATTGTTAGTAGGCAATTCCCCACGTATATCCTCTACTTGAGCACTGAGCGCATCGGGAAGTGAAGCGCAATGTTGCGTACTCTCTCCGTGCTCCCGTTGCGAACCCCGCTTAACCCTCCGCCCCCGCAACCCGCGTGCGCCAAGCCTCCTCGCCAGGAGTCCCGCTCGTCCATGACCGCGGCCAGATCAGAGGACGCTTCTGCATCGCCGTATATTTTGCTGCCGTGCAGTCCACAGTTGAACCCCGCGGTATCAGACTTTCCTATTATGGATAACATTCTCGTCACCGCTGCATACCTCGCAACTCCATCGCGGCTCAGGGTTTTGTACCGCCTGCCTTTGTCACCATGGGATCGCGACTCCATCGCGACTGCATTTGCATGGTCTTGGTCAACACTGTTTCCGAGCCCGTCCATCGGATCGCGACCGATAGACCAACCCCGATCTGAACGGCGTACCATGTGAAAAAGAGAGAGAGAGAGAGAGAGAGGCTGTTTCTAGCTCCATCGGATCACAACCCCATGGATCAACCCGATCTGAACAGGGAACCATGCGGGGAGAGAGAGAGAGAGAGAGAAAGAGACACAGAGAGAGAGAGAGAGAGAGGGAGAGAGAGAGAGAGAGAGGGGGCAGTTGAGAAGAGTTGGGGGATGTGTTGGTTTTTTTTTTTTTTTTTTTTCTATTTATTGTCCGTGTTTGGGGTATATGAGTGTTTGCCGTACGTTGTTGTGGGCGTACCACCCCCATCTCGCTCAACGTTTTATGCGTTGCGTCGCACCATGTCCAGCTGATGTCAGCTTTTCCGACTCTTGTTGTTCGTGTTTGTCTTTTTTTTGCATACGTTTTCTCCTTCTCATTGATTGTTCTTGTCGTCATTCTCTCTCCTTGTTCTTTCCCTTTTTCCTTCCAACCGTACAGTTGTAAGTGTTCAATAGTAAGTTCCGTATCGATTGTTCAGGGTTCTTTAAGGCTCCGCATCAGCCATTTCCCGAGGCCGAGAAATTGTGGAAATGAACCGTACAATGACGTGTTCTTCCCCCCCCCCCCCCCTGAAATATCATTTTCTGGATTCATCAATTGTGGCGATGGGCGAGTCATTCCAGGCGACGCATTCCTGAAGTGATGGCCTGCCCATGGGCCTCGCCGCACTAGTCACCAAGTGCACAAAAGACAAAAGTTATGATGGTGCATCTTTCCATGTTCTAATGGAAGATTCATTCCCATTTTCTACATTTGGTGAGTAGTGCGGCGAGGCCGCATATCCAGGTCTAGGTCTACTACGTGCTCTGCTATGCTGTCGACATTTCTCTGTTTGTATGTTCTGGCTTTTGGTCTGATTTTTCGTCGTGCGGACCTCTCCCTCCTCTCCTCTCCGGTGTCGTTCAGATTTTACATCGAACCAAGAGTTGATTGCCTCTACCTATGGACGATCCTTCGTCGGACTGTCTCTCAGTCGGTATTAACTGCTTTACTGAACTGTCTCCTACGCCCAATTTGAGAGAGAACAAAAAAAAAAAAAAAAAAAAAAAAGATAACAAGGTCGTACATCCGCTCAGGAGGAGGCACAGGTGATCCAGCCGACTCCCTGCTTTCTCCAATCAAGTCACAACCAGCCGCCCTCTCCGGCAGAGCAGCTCGAATCGTAGAGTTGCCAGAGCCACCACATACTGTAACTCTAGGCGGACTTGAAAGTCGTTACTCGTTTTTCCCTGTAACCGCCATCGGCGCACTTATCATTTCTTGATCGTTCTCTATTCTGCCATCAAGGAGGAAGAGAGATTCACGGCCCGCCTCATTGCGTGCACATAATTAACCGTTTTGGGGCGAGGGGGAGTTGCCACGGTTCCTCCACTCAGAATGGTAATTTTGAGATCCGCTCGTTCTCTACAGCAAGTGCAGCCGGGAGACTAGAGAGAGAGAGAGAGAGAGAGAGAGAGAGAGAGAGAGAGAAAGAAAGAAACGCTACGGTTACTCGTCACAATGGTAATCTTGAGCTTCGTCCGTTCTCAACAGCAAGTGCAGCGGGGGAAAAAGAGAGAGAGAGAGAGAGAGAGAGAGAGAGAGAGAGAGAGAGACGCTACGCTTCTTCCACTCACAATGGTAATCTTGAGATCCGCCCGTTCCAACAGCTAGTGAAGCGGGGGGAGAGAGAGAGAGAGAGAGAGAGAGAGAGAGAGAGAGAGAGAGAGAGAGAGAGAGAGAGGGAGAGGAATCATGGAGGAGAGAAAGGACGCGAAAAACGGACGTTAGTGCATTGGAAGGGGTGTTCGAAAACAAGCAAATTGAATGGCTTCCGGAGATTCAACCATGCTTGCGAAATTGGTCCGAAAACTCGTGGCAAGTTCGAGTTCCAAGTCTCAGATCGCGCAACGAGTTCTCGTGCCAGTCTTCCGGAATTATGGTCATCGAGTGTGGAATCGGCGAAAGACTAGAGAAGTGGAGAGGGGCAAGATTGTTGCCTCGTTATCACCAGACTTATTTTCACACAGACGTTGTTCAGATACCTGCGTGAACTGCAAGTCTTCTCATTTACCGGTGGCTTAGTCGGTTTCCCTGACCGTGACAGCAGCGGTCTTAGAACGCGTACTCTAAATTTTCGTCCTTATCTCACTCCACTGTTGCTGGCGGTCGGTGGCAAGCCACACACACACACACACATACACACACACAGAGGCACACAGAGGCACACAGAGGCACACACACACACAGAGAGAGAGAGAGAGAGAGAGAGAGAGAGAGAGAGAGAGAAAGAGAGAGAGAGAGAGCTACGAATGTATATACAGCAGATGAGCAGCAAGATTAAGAACCAATTGATTCTGTCGTTCGTCAGAATCGTAAGATCTGAAGAGATCTGATCCGATTCGATCGGATCGATCCCTGTACGTGTTTCCGGTCCGAAAGAAGTTTCTGCTAGATCACTAACTCTCCTCGTTATCCTTTCGCAAGGCAAGATTAGAGTAGATGGTCTCTGCCTTCCGCGTGTCATTGGCCCCACTACTCCGCTAGAACATATGCAAACAAAACGAGAGTGAATCTTCCGCTAGAACATGGAAAGATACACCGGCATGATTTTTGTCCTTTGTGCATGTCGCGTCCCATTTCCGACGCGCATCTCGGTATATGATTAACGCTTCTTTTTTTTTTTTTTTAATTAACGCATTCATTCATTATCTTACATCAACTACGCATTTTAACTGTCTTTCAGCCCGCCGTCAAACGTTTATGATTGTGCCGTTTACTGCCCCACTGCTACTGTAGTCAGCTTGCCGTTTGTTCGTTTATATACTGTATTACGTATATAAAGCGGATTGGGACCAGAACTTGTAATCAGAAGGGAGAAAAAGAAGAGGAGGAAAAAGGTAGGGCAACAACAAAAAAAAAAAAACAGAGAAGGAAGAAAAGCGCTGGCGTAATGCTCTATTTTCCAACTTAGGGCCTCGCTGCACTACTCTCCAAATGTGCA